TGCCATTTTACCCAAGAGGATTGGATTAATATCCTGAAGCTCCTGAGTTGGGTAGGACCCGTGTCAATTTCTTAAACAATTAGTGGGGAGGGGGGGACTCTTGCTGCTAAGCTTCCTAGAAATGTTTTATTTTTATACTCACTAGTGACATATCCTGTGTGTTCCTGCATTATACAAAATACCTACAGTCAGTCCTGTAACTTAGCCAACTTGATTTGGAAGACATTGATTTCATCATATCACAGATATTAAGAAAGATGCTTTTTATCCCCAGGTTCCATGTTTACATGGTTATTTTGAGTCATTTAAGGGAGGAAAATAGCCAGAATGCTTCTACTTCCTAGTATACATATTGTTGGCATTTCCAAATCATGTCATTTTAACATTCTGTGACAAAAGAATAGTACAGAAGAAGGAATATCTGGAAGGTTCAGCAATTAAAACACTAGAACCCATAGTAAAAAAATATGTCCTGTTTCCTTTGCATTAGGTGTCAGATTCTAAATATATAATTGTAGCAGACTGGAGACCAGATGTTACTCCTCCTTACTACATGGCAGCAAGGGTGAAAGAAAAGACCCGGAGCTCTGTAGCCTGGCTGTCCTTATCTCCCTGGGAATTTCTTGCATAATAATGAATAGGAGAATCTCATCACCAGAGCAGCTGATGCTTAATTTAAGTGCTGAGCCTGTGCTCAATACAGAGATATTTTGTTTTGTTTAAAGGATGGAACCATTTCTCTGTTTGGCCTCCTGCCCCATAAATCTATCTCTTCAATTTTTTTGTGCTGCAGTGATTTTCATAACTTTATTTGACAAAGGGCCTCTTTTGAAGTGTCACTTCTGGAAAACTGAACATCTGAAGCACTAGTAAAGTATCTTGGAGCATTTGTAGACATGTTCAACTCTGCCCAAATAGCCCAGGAACTTAAGTGATACTGCTAAGTTTTCTAACAATTTTGTTTCCTCTGAGTAGACAGCATGAGCAACTTTTACACTGTTAGTCCCCGGCTGATGACCATTAAGATAGGAACGTAAAACAAAAAGTATTTTTTCTTTTGTTGCATAAAAATAATACATTATATTCCAATAAATACATTTTATTGCTCAGTGAATTGGTTTGTCCATCACAAAAGTTGTCTCCTGTCAGAATTTAGGGACATTTTCTGATTATTAATGTTAGCATAAAAGGTGAATCTGCTGACTAACTGCATATCCTCTCTACTGAACAGCTACAAACACATGCGAAGTATTTGTGCTGCAGATATTCTGTGGTTTGATTAGGTGACAGGAAGAAAAACTAGTATCAGAATTCATACATACATTTCATGAAAGTACAGTTTATGTTCTATATCAAGCCAGCCAACTGAGTTTGCGGTATTGATCATAATGTGAAGATAACCATTTATCAATGTAGAATTCAACTGTGTGCAACTAATATGCTGAAAGATGTACGGGATCCTTTGTGTGGATGAAGCTATGGGGGGGGGGGGGCAGTTCATTTGAAAGCTTGTTATGGGAATCCAGATATTAATCCAATAAAATTATTCTGTGTGATAATAGTTATTCAGGTTTTTCCAACTTCTGATTACAATTTAGAAACGTCAGTGGTCCACAGTAAAACTTTCATCACGCTCTTATGGATAAAATAGTTGAGACATCTCAATTACAACAGAGACAAATACAAAGGTATCCAATAATGTTTGCTTGTCCCTTCAGTGAGACGTTTTCATTCTGCAGAACCAAGAAAATGCATCTTCCCTGTCATGACACTTTTCTCCTGCAATAACTTTCCTCTAAGAATATCTTTGGCTCCCACCCTTCAAATGGTTGGCATGTCTCTGAAGACCAGGCTGTGTTCTAGTTTGTGGAGCCCCCAATGATTTATCATGGGTATGATACAGATTTGTCTGGATGGTCATGTTCCTTTTTAAAAAAAAAGCATTTTCTTTTAAAAATTGTAAGACTCACAGACTCTTTTTTTAAAGTCAGATAGCTTTGAATACAATGAACAGACAATTTTTTCCTATTTCTGTAAGCTGTAATATCTCTAAATATACTTATCCTTCTTTCCTGTATTTCATTTCGCCCTACAGCAGTCATAGGTCAGAACATAAGACTTCTATTAATATCTATCAAGATTGGGCACTTTAGAGCCGAGGTGGCGCAGGGGTTAGAGTGCAGTACTGCAGGCTACTTCAGCTGACTGCTAGTTCGGCAGTTCGGC